AGTAGAACCTTTAACAGCCTCTGCCATAATATTTAAAAGAAAACAAAATAGTCAATTAACAGAATACTAACCTTAATACTAAACTTATATGAGTCGATTTAACTAACCTTTCGCTTTCTTGGCACTAATAATTCGAGCGATAACCATTATAGGAAAACCTAATATCATTCTATAAATATAGGAAAAAATTTTTAATTTTAAGAATATCATTTTATTAAGACAATTTATATTTACCCGGGAAAGCCTAAAATACTCCATAACATCAAAAGAAAAATTCGTTGTAATAATAAGAACAAGGCTCTAAATTCACCATGGGCAGTTTTTTGAACTTGATGATCCTTTAACCCATAATATTTTAATAGTTGATTATATGCCATCACTTCTTTATTCATTTTTTGAACCCTCGGATCATCTTTAAAATTCATATAACCGCTAACAAAGCGTCTATTTAATTCCATCACTTCAGGAAGCTCAAGTTTGTGATGTTCAGGTTTATACAAACGACGAGCAGCCTGAATGGTCTGTTAAATAATATTTAACAAACAATAAGAATTTTAGAGGTTTAAAATATTTGAAGAATAAAGTAAATACCATCAATGTCTCATAATCCGGAGTATTAACAGTCACAGATTTTAAGCCATTATAAATTATTTCCAACAAATTACTACAGGCATCCCTTTTATATTGGCCACCTTTACTGAATCTTTCAACCAAGTCACGTGGTATCGAAATAGGAGAACCAAATTCAACAACAGCACGAGAACGAAATTGGTGGGCATGAAAATAATTCAAACCTGTATTAAGTAAAAAATATTAGGGTATAAATTATACAGTACAGAAGATAGATATAAAAGTGATATAGTATTCCAACAAACCACATGGCACAATTTTGACATTAAGTTTAGGATTAGCAGCCATAGCACCCAAAGCCATAATAGTTACACCCGCTACATTTATAAAAAGATGGATTTAAACTAAAATCAGATAATATTAATTACCGTTTGCCACTGCTTACAGCACCGGGAACATATTCAAGAAATCCATTTTTAAAATTGAACAGCACTCGTGGGTACAGTAAGAAGAATTGGGTACTATACTTAGAAGATATATTATATTAAAAGCAGTAAATCAATATAATTATGCCACCGAGCCTTATCCAAGAAATAAGCAGGTAGGGATGGAGGGGGACTTAATCATGGGTAATATTTTTTGGGGAATACCGTAAGCAATGGTCAACAGTTGATAAATTTAAATACACAAACCTTTCAATGGAAGGATTTCAGTTCGATCGTGACTTCCACCTTCGGGAAATATTCCAACACAACCTCCAGCATTTAAAACTTCAAACACTGCTTTATATACTTTACTTTGATCAATGTGTGGTAAGCATTTGTAAGTTGTTCCTTCAGGTTGCGTCAACATTTCCAATGCTTTTAAGTCTTTAAATTCTTTTTTAATTTTCAATTTAGTATCTGATATTATATCAGTTACCTCGGATGATCCACGATCATTTGGTAAAGAAATTTGACCACCTATTTTCAATTGTTCAGTAAATTTCGTATCGATACCACTAATAATAAGAGGTTCAGTTTTACGGTCATTTAAATAAATTTTTCCTTTTCCGGGTTTGGCTAAATCTTGAGGTCTTACGACGGGTACTATTGATTTAAGAATTTTTTGTTAACAATCACGAAGTTTAATCACGAAGTTCTTTAAATAAAATGAGAAAAATCAGTTATCTTACTTGCATGAAGAGCACGAGCCATAGAGCCAATATATTTGCGTTTCATGGATTTTTCCGCGATTAAAAAGGAAATAGGTCGATTGCTATTCCTCACAAGAATGAGCGGATCAACGAACTGAAGGAAATAGAAGATTTGGTTTAATAAACGACATAAAACTAAAGATTAAGTTTTATAGATAACTTACTTGATTTGCATGTGGGGCAGCAACAAAAACGAGAGGACCTTCTTCTGGAATTTTATGAGATCCTCGTGATTTTATTTCGCGAAAAAAGGTGTCTAGCACCAAACCAAAGAAGCACACGACAATGTCGTATAAGGTAATCCA